AAGCTGTTGCCCAAAGTTGTTTATAGAAAAATATGAGAGCATAATATTTTTTCTGTAACGTTGCTTCCGATCGACTGCGATAAGTTCATATGAACACTTGTATCCTGAATAATGTATAATGTTTAATGTAATCTAGTATATATATGAAAACTACTCAGCATAGGAGAAACCACTCGACGTAGGGGAAACCACTCGACGTAAGGGAAACCACTCGACGTAGGAGAAACCACTCGACGTAGGGGAAACTACTCGAAGTAGGGGAAACCACTCGACGTAAGGGAAACCACTCGACGTAGGGGAAACCACTCGACGTAGGGGAAACTACTCGAAGTAGGGGAAACCACTCGACGTAAGGGAAACCACTCGACGTAGGGGAAACCACTCGACGTAGGAGAAACCACTCGACGTAGGGGAAACCACTCGACGTAGGGGAAACCACTCGACGTAGGGGAAACCACTCGACGTAGGGGAAACCACTCGACGTAGGAGAAACCACTCGACGTAGGGGAAACTACTCGAAGTAGGAGAAACCACTCGACGTAGGGGAAACCACTCGAAGTAGGGGAACCATTAAGTATGTAAGGAAACGTGCACCACGTAGCATCATCAAATATACAACATACAACCCACATCATGAAACACAACATACAATACGCAACTTGCAGCACTAAATTTACAGCACCTCACACATCGAGCAACACCACATTACACTAAAACATAACTAACGAAATACAACCCACAACACAAACTATAACCCATAGCAAATTCCACAAAATACAACTCGTATCATACGACTAACAACATGCACAAATACAATATGTCCCAACAACATACAACAACAAAAACCTGTAGGTCACATTACACAGCAAAATGGGCCATAACATACAAAATACAGCTATATCACACATCATACATCTCACAAAATACAACATACAGACTCCCCATCACACATTCAAAACAATACACAAGACGGCTGTTACCCCAACCCGACAACAGGCCAATTTGCCCCTAACAACCGTTCCATTCACTTCTCAACAAACCCTTAAAACCAACGAACAAAAGAGTGGTTCCGAAAACCCTTTGAATTGGTGTTGGACTTGAGGCTTATCACGCACCGGGGGGTTATTAAGGCCACTAAACCTTCCTGGCCAACAGGAATGAATACTCAGTCATTACACAAAGTCCAACACTAAAGAAAACCCCTCAGCGTATGTACACTAAGAAGCGGATATACGTAATGGTTTAAATGTAAACCTCAATGTCTTGGTTGTTTTGTGGGTCATCGTCAGCACTTTGTGGTGTAAACTAACAAAGTGTCTAACACAAGGGGGTTCGAGCCCAAGTTAAATAAACGACAACCGGCAGAGTATTGACGATGAATGGGAGGAAACATTGTGAGTAGACGTGGGAGTAAGGTTAGACTCTCTTCTGTCATGTGAGGGATTCTAATCATCCTATTGATTGGTCTTCCTCCAGAATAATCTTTCCTGCCTCTACTCTACACAGACGCCGTCTTGTTGAATCGGCTCTAATACACAAAGTACTCAACATGAACTTGAGTCCTGGCTTTGTTGCTGTGGACTCTTCCCTTTCACAGTATATACTCAAATGCTCTAATCTTTCTAACAAACGTGACCTAACATAAGCTTACCCTTCCATTTATCTTTTTTTCTCTTTCCTTTTCTTTCTCTCTTCTCTCTTTTTTCTGTTCATTGTTTTCTCTTACGTTCCCTTCCTATCCTCTTCTTATTCCTATTACTATCTCCTTCTCATTAGGTGGTAATAAGAGGAGCTGCCTCGTATGGGCCAATGGGCCTTCTGCAGTTCTTATTCCTACTACACCTTACCGTTCGTACCTTTTGCCTTGCTCCTCACCTCTCTCTTGCCTATTTATTGCCTACATCACTTCCATCAGAGACGGCACCACTCCCGTGCCAGGTAAGTCCACTACGGGCTCACCATAGCCCGTGCTACTTGGAACCTATTCCGAGTAGCTGAATCTATAACAACAACATTCCCTCATCACAGTCGACTTAAGAATGGTCCAGGACGGACCGAAACGTCGTCGTCCCTTCACCTTCTAGTGTGTGGTCTGGTCAACAAGGGTACACGTGAGTAAGGGTAGACGTGAGAGTAAGGGTAGACGTGAGAGTAAGGGTAGACGTGAGAGTAAGGGTAGACGTGAGAGTAAAAGTAGACGACGTCTCATTGGTGTGTCACCACATAGGTCTGGCAGGGAGCAACCCTTCCTCGCTCGCTAATCTAAATATATTTAAATCAAACTGCTGAGGCACTGTACTTGTGTCACTGCTCGCGACTGGATCAAGTTGATAAGAATAAGAAACAACTAACAGCACAGGTGGTCGATAATTACTGGCATTCAACATCAACAAATACAAGGACATGAGTTATGACATGGCGAATGGGCTAAACAAAATGCTAGGAAGGACCGTATTAATGTCGTATCAAATAACCTCGGAGTAGACGTAATAAAAACTTATAAACGTGTAAAATATTGAGGCCTGGTAGCACCTGTGGTTGAGATTTCATTTGAGCTCATCATGGTTCAGTCGGTAGTGCGTGTGCCCAGAGAGTCGTGGAATGCGGGTTCGATCCCATTGCATGGCCTCAATATTTCCACGGATAAAGAGGAAACTTTATCTTTACCTTTCTTTAAAGTGGAAACTTTAACCCCTTCTTGTGGTTATCAGGACACGTAAATACATCCGTGAAATATGCTGCCTGACCCCAACATTACGACAGTCTCCACGATGTGAGACAACCCCGGGGAAACAACGCAACTACAACTGATATTAAAGGATTATTACGTTGTTACAACGTTGTGGCAAGGTAGTAATAGTAAAATAATACTGTGATTACGTTGTGTGTTTGCTGGGAGGATGGTTGCTGGACACTGTGTACCAGTACGCTGGATACAAGGCTAACCTCTGAACTGATAGGATGGCTCTCGAGGGGAAACCGAACGAGCTAAATGTCACATCGCCTTGAAGAAGGAAGAGCTACTAGAGTGGATATGATTCAGACATATTAGATACTCATGGCGAACAATGTTATCAAAATATTTAATAATAGAGATGAGCAAAGACGAAACGTGAATTAAAGCTAAACAATCAAACAAATCAAAAGAAATTAATTAAAACAAATTCCCCCCACGAGACAAGTAAGCAGGATGAATGAAACAGCAACACAGCAAGTAATGTATTCTACATCTTGTATTTGTTAACAGAATCAACGGACTGTAGATGGCGTGCGCTACAAGGGCTGTTGTTATTGTTGTTAAAGATTCGCTACTTGGAACAAACAGTTCCAAGTAGCACGGGCTATGGTGAGCCCGTGAGGGTGAGGGTACGAGCGCCCTGCACGTCTCTTGCAGCTCTCACGTTCCAAATGTTTACCGTGAGTGACGTTATGACTATAGCATCACTAAACACACAGCATCACTAAGGGATCCTCTCACAAGAATCTTGCTAAAGTGTACGTGTTCAGACACACATGGAGAAGAATGGCGAGCAATCGTCAAACACGAATTTATGGAATTGCTGAGCGAAAATGATTCAAACTTTGCAAATTATCTACAGATTCCTTCCGTTTGGCGTCACCCAGCCACTGCTCTTGTTTGACGTCACCCAGCCACTGCTCTTGTTTGACGTCACCCAGCCACTGCTCTTGTTTGACGTCACTCAGTCACTGCTCTTGTTTGGCGTCACTCAGTCACTGCTCTTGTTTGACGTTACCCAGCCACTGCTCTTGTTTGGCGTCACTCAGTCACTGCTCTTGTTTGACGTCACTCAGCCACTGCTCTTGTTTGGCGTCACTCAGTCACTGCTCTTGTTTGACGTCACCCAGCCACTGCTCTTGTTTGGCGTCACTCAGTCACTGCTCTTGTTTGACGTCACTCAGCCACTGCTCTTGTTTGGCGTCACTCAGTCACTGCTCTTGTTTGGCGTCACCCAGTCACTGCTCTTGTTTGGCGTCACTCAGCCACTGCTCTTGTTTGACGTCACCCAACCACTGCTCTTGTTTGACGTCACCCAGCCACTGCTCTTGTTTGGCGTCACCCAGCCACTGCTCTTGTTTGACGTCACCCAGCCACTGCTCTTGTTTGACGTCACTCAACCACTGCTCTTGTTTGACGTCACCCAACCACTGCTCTTGTTTGACGTCACCCAGTCACTGCTCTTGTTTGGCGTCACCCAGCCACTGCTCTTGTTTGACGTCACTCAACCACTGCCCTTGTTTGGCGTCACTCAGCCACTGCTCTTTTTTGACGTCACCCACTGCTCTTGTTTGACGTCACCCAGCCACTGCTCTTGTTTGGCGTCACTCAGCCACTGCCCTTGTTTGGCCACTGCTCTTGTTTGACGTCACCCAGCCACTGCTCTTGTTTGACGTCACTCAGCCGTCACTGCTCTTGTTTGGCGTCACTCAGCCACTGCTCTTGTTTGACGTCACTCAACCACTGCTCTTGTTTGGCGTCACTCAGCCACTGCTCTTGTTTGACGTCACCCACTCAGCCACTGCTCTTGTTTGGCGTCACTCAGCCACTGCTCTTGTTTGGCGTCACCCAGCCACTGCTCTTGTTTGACGTCACTCAACCACTGCCCTTGTTTGGCGTCACTCAGCCACTGCTCTTTTTTGACGTCACCCAGCCACTGCTCTTGTTTGGCGTCACCCAGTCACTGCTCTTGTTTGACGTCACTCAGCCACTTCTCTTGTTTGGCGTCACCCAGCCACTGCTCTTGTTTGGCGTCACCCAACCACTGCTCTTGTTTGGCGTCACCCAGTCACTGCTCTTGTTTGGCGTCACCCAACCACTGCTCTTGTTTGGCGTCACCCAGCCACTGCTCTTGTTTGGCGTCACCCAGCCACTGCTCTTGTTTGGCGTCACCCAGCCACTGCTCTTGTTTGGCGTCACCCAACCACTGCTCTTGTTTGACGTCATTATTTTAGGGGTTGGCTTCTGTTTTCGTTTCGTTTAGGATGTTGAGCGATATCAACAGCTCCAGAAATACCAATGGCTCAAGGGATACCAACCATTCCAGCGACATCAATAATTCCAGCGATATCAACCATTCCAGCGACATCAATAATTCCAGCGACATCAACCGTTCCACCGCTGATGATAAGATTCATGTAATAAAATTAATTTTAGATTCTCGTGCAACACTTCATTAATGCTGATGAAAACCGCCGCTGTTGATCAGCACGTGTGACTTCCTTCATGATCAGCACATGTGACTTCCTTCATGATCAGCACGTGTTACTTCCTTCATGATCAGTACATGTGACTTCCTTATGATCAGCACGTGTGACTTCCTTCATGATCAGCACGTGTGACTTCCTTCATGATCAGTACATGTGACTTCCTTATGATCAGCACGTGTGACTTCCTTCATGATCAGCACGTGTGGCTTCCTTCATGATCAGCACGTGTGACTTCCTTATGATCAGCACGTGTGACTTCCTTCATGATCAGCACGTGTGACTTCCTTCATGATCAGCACGTGTGACTTCCTTCATGATCGGCACGTGTGACTTCCTTCATGATCAGCACGTGTGACTTCCTTATGATCAGCACGTGTGACTTCCTTCATGATCAGCACGTGTGACTTCCTTCGTGATCGGCACGTGTGACTTCCTTCATGATCAGCACGTGTGACTTCCTTCATGATCAGCACGTGTGACTTCCTTCATGATCAGCACGTGTGACTTCCTTCATGATCAGCACGTGTGACTTTCATCATGACGTCACATGTACACTTTTACATATACACGTGTACAAGTCACACATATACAGTGTACACTTGTGCCAGTGTGGTACACATTGTGTGGCATAGGTCTACACTCTTGCTGTTATATGTTCAATGTTATATTTCATATTTTATATTACTAATTGTGCAGTATAACAAATCTTCCAATTTATCTAATGTAAGAACATAAAAAAATAAACGTGTTTAGAGTATCCTACAGACCCTAAACTTTCCCCAAAATTGCTTTTTCAAAATTTAGCCGAACAATTGTGATTTTAACATGTAATAGCCGTGTCATGCCTATACAAAAATTGCAATCGCCTATCAGATAAATATAATAATAAAATGCCGGCATACCTGCACTAATTTTGGGGGGTGGAAGGGGGTTAGGGCAATGGGGAGGGAGAAGGGAAAGGAGAAGGGGTGGAACCGTAAATATAATTTCAGGGGAAGACTTGAAGGGTCGGGTGAGTGAGGATAGGGTTGGAAAGGCCAGATGGGATGGGGAGGGGGGGTTGAAGGGCTTGATGGGGGGTTCTGAAGGGGCTAGATGAGGGGTTCTGAAGGGGCTAGATTGGGGGGGGGTCACAAGGGGCTAGATGGGGGGGTTCGGGCTTGGGGAGTAGAAGAACTCCCAGAACCCCATCAACCAGGTATCCCCCAAAGTTATTATTTCCTTTTTTTATCTTTCCTTAAGTTCGAATGGGGAACAAAGTCAACTCTTTCATGCCAACTCTCAAGTGTCTTAAGAATAGAGATGTTCTATTCTTAGGATGGAGGAGCAATACTATGCTCCTCCACCTGTCTACCTGTCTCATAAAGCACCGCCTCTCTAATTTACCTACATATTGTTGGCTGAAAAAAACACATAAAAATGAGTTCTTATAAACTTTTAAAAAATATTTGCCGTCAACTATCTCATGCGCGCTTGACTTGCCTCCGCCAGACCAGGAAATCCAGAACCCTCCATTCCAGCCCAATTTATGGCTAATAACTTAATCTTATCTTCCCTTCCCATCAAATCATCGAGATATCTCGTGTCTCCTTCCGTTCCTAACTCTTCCTCATACGCGAGACGCACAAAATCATCAACATCTTCCCCCCCACAGTTTCCCGCCAATGCTGTCTTATCGTACGGGGCGCGTCACTCCCAAGCGCTGTTATCGTACATCTGGTAAACCCGTGTTCGTCGCCACAGAGATATCGTACCGCGAGAAACAGAACAATAAACAGCTGAAAAACAAACAAACGAGGAGATTGATTGTGTTGCTTGTGTTGTTTGCCATTGATGAGTGCATCTTGGATAAGAGGAGTGCAGGGCTGAGAAGGCTGGAGGAGTAGGTCGAAGTTTTGAGTGGATTAGTCTGGGCGGGAGACGCAGTGATTCGGTTAACATATATCTGTTCATTTCATTTATAAGCCTTGACCCAGGAAGAGGAAAGCAAGGGTAAGAGGGTAGATGGGAAGGAAAGGGGAGGCGTGATAGGGTGGAGGGAAGGGGAAGGAGAAGTTGCAAGCGGGAATGATTATGAAGTGAAACAAGACAGAATTTTTAAACGAAATGGGGAAAAGAATGCAATGAGAAATAAAATAAAGAGGGGCGAAAAGAAATATGGAATAGATAATGTGAAGGAAGGGATAAATGGAGGGAAAAGGGGACTGGATATGGAGACTGATAAAAGGGAAGAAAATGGAATCGACGGGAGAAAGTTAAAGGGTAAAAAGGTAATGAAGAGAAAGGAGAGAAACGACAATAAAAAAAAATTCGATGTGATGAAATATTTCCCTGAATACACTTGTTAAATCTAAGCGAGCAAATGTAAATATTTCTTAGAGCACATGTTACTATGCCGTAGAGCAGTTGTTAATATGAGTGGCTGACACATGGTAGCACTTATGTACATGTGTGGCAGGTATTGCCGTCTCTCGTAGGTGAGGGAACACCTTCCATGACCAGGACACCCTGGAGCCGTATAGCATAAATCTCCCTTTTCGTATCTACTGATTTATCTGTATTTAAGTGTTCTTTTATCAAGGAAACTAAATGGTCACTTGGCTGTACATGGCGGCTCCTACGAAGCCATCAGTGACAACATGTTAAAGTGTCTATGACTAAAAATAAAATTACCATTTATGAAAAACCACCAGATCAAAACCATCAGTCAAACATTATAGCTCATTCGATGTTTATATAAAGACTTGCCATTAAGCCAATATGAGGGTGTCCGAGGCTGTTAGAATTCAGACAGTACTCGCCTAATTGTGCTTTGGGGGGGGGGGGGGGTTAAGCATTTTAGTCCCGCCTCTCAACTGTCAATCAACTCTTGTACAGGTTGTTAAGCCTATTGGGCTCTATCATATTAACATCTGACACTATGTAGAGAGTCAGCCTCTATCACATCACTTCCTAATGCATTCTATTTATTAAGTACTCGGACATTGACAAAATTCTTTCTAATGTATCTGACTTATTTGGGTACTCAGTTTCCACCTGTGTTGCAAGTACCACCCGTGTTAAATAATCGGTCTTTATCTACTATTTCAATTCCCTTGAGAATTTTGTATGTGGTAATCATGTTTCCCCTAACTCTGTTGTCTTCCAGCAACGTGAGGGGCAATTCATGCAACCTTTCCTCGTAACTCCTATCTCGAACTTCTGCAACTAGTCTAGTGGCATACCTTTGAACCGTCTCCAGGTTCGTCTTATGCTTGACAAGGTATGGACTCCATGCTGGGGCCGCATACTCAAGGATCTGTCCGACAAACAACATACAAGGTTCTAAATGATTCCTTACACAATTTCTAAAGGCAGTTCTGATGTTTAGCCAGCCTCGCATACACCGCTGATGATATAGTTTTGATGTGGACTTCAGGAGACAGGTTCGGTGTGATATCAACTGCTAGAACCTTCTCTCTGTCCGTTTCATGGAGAATTTCGTCTCCCATTTGGTACCTTATGACTGGCCTCCTGCTCCCTCCATCTAACTTTATTACTTTACATTTACTTGAGTTAAACTCTAGTAGCCATTTGTTGTGAGATAGTGGAACGGTTAATTGTGTCGATTAAGCCCTAAAATCATTAACAGAAGGTCAACCTCATCTGCGACACACGTCAAATTTAAAGTGGTTTACCGAGCCAAAAGCGCACGAAAACTGACAAATGACCTAACCTATAAAAAGCCGATGCTCATTGTTGACCAGACCACACACTAGAAGGTGAAGAGACGACGACGTTTCGGTCTCTCCTGGACCATTTTAAAGTCGATTGTGAGCCATTCATGAGCCGATGGTCATTTGTAGCATCTCCATTTGGGCGCTGATGTCTAAGAAGACAGGATCAATGACATATAAAGATCTGGGAGCACGGGTGAGCTCAAGTGCCTTCAGAGGCGGGAACGCGTTCCCACCACCATCATAATATTTGGGATGAAGTGTTGTCTCTTTAAATACAAATATACGTTAATATCTCCGATGGAAACAGGCAAGTGATAACATTTTTAAAAGACATGAATACGCTAATATCTTGGAGCACAGGTGTTGAATGCCTTGGAGCACAGGTGTTGAATGCCTTGGAGCACAGGTGTTGAATGCCTTGGAAGACAAATGTTAATGTTCTCGCTCGAGGAGACAAGACACTTATGGGTGACCTAGTGTGTGGAAAGAGCCTAATGATATTATGATAACGGCCAGCTGATAATGCCTTATGATAACACCTTATAGATAACAAGTCTCCTTTTTATTGTTTTACATTTTGTGGGTAAAATACAGGAAAAGTCTCCTCCACACACTTGTTCCATATCCATCTGGATATATTCTAGCGCCTTTCTCTCTCTACTTCTCTCCTTTATCAGTGTGTCTCATCCACTCACTGTGTACTCACCTAGTTGTACCTGCAGGGACGAGCATCATGTTTCAGACTCGCCTTCCAATCTATTTGTTAGTTCAGTGAAATGGCTAAGTTCCATACGTGTTTATATCTATATTTAAAGTTGAGTACTGAATTAGCTTCAACAACTTCATCGTCTAATAAATTACACTGAAATATATTTACAACTCATTTACAACTCTGACACTAAAACAGTTATGACGATCCTGCGACTCTCTTGTGTCTAGATCTGTGCCACCTTGTTCACTTGCTTCTAGCCTTGATAAATACTTCGCTGACTACTTCGTTAATGCCTCTCAAAATGGTCACAACATCTTAAATGTTGTGATCATGTTCCCTCCCTCCCTGCAATTACTCTCATTCAGTGTTATATAAAGTATATATCGTTTATCCACCTCTACTCGACTCTTCAAGTTTACATTATTTTCCGAATATCTTCTAATTGCTTCTCTGCTTCCTCTCTCTCTCGTATCTCGTCTCTTCCCTCACTCTTATTCCTCTTAATCCGGTCACTTCATTTATCTCACTTTCTCTTTCTT